ATAGAATTGTCTGATGAAAAATGTGTTTGACTGTTTTATACAGAGTAAGAGTATTCTTTTTGAAGATCGAATCATAGTTTATCTTAATATGTTTATTGCATGGATACTCCCTAAAAATACATGTTGACTGCTTTCTATTTCTAACAGTATTATGATTGGTGTTCTACGGTAATAGTAGAAAATGTTTAGATGAATTATTTTTATTTTGTTTCATAATATGAGTTGTCATTATTTTTGAGATTTTCAATATTTCTTATGAAGAACAATTTTTCGTAAAAACTTCAGATGTTTTTGATGATCTGACTTCTAGTAAATCTGAAACATGGATATTTAATTTTTAAATTGTCTATCGTTTACAATTCTTAAACTGAATTTTTGGGGTGGGTGGGTGTGGGAATGTGGACGTCGATGGAAACATCTCTCACACCCACAGCCACATACCCACACCCCACACTCACAACCACACCCACACGCCCACACCCACAGCCACACACCCACACCCCACACTCACAACCACACCCACACGCCCACACCCACCCACCCCACACCCACACGCCCACACCCACCCACCCCACACCCACACCCCACCACACCCACACGCCCACACCCACACCCACACCCACCCACACCCCACACCCACCCAGCCACACCCCACACCCACCCACACCCACACCCCACACCCACACCCACCCACACCCACACACCCACACCCACACCCCAATGGTTCATGGTAGGCTTGTGACAATTCCATCTCGTTTAAACGAGTGGATGCGAAGTGAGCAGCTCGTTTGAGCGACCTGAGTTGAGTCTCCAGCTCTTTTGAGCGAGCTGAAGCGAGTGACCAGCTCTTTTCAGCGAGCAGATCCCCAAATCCTATCATCTAAGGGTATCCACAGGTCCTCGACAGCTATTATATAGCAGGACCCGTAAATACCCAAGTCCTATCATATCGGGGTACTCATAGGTCCTCAAGAGCTATCCTAGAGCCAAGGGGGAAAAAGCGGTGCCTGGTAGATCCTAGGATCCAGTAGGAACCACATGATCCATCAAAGGCCATTAGGATCCAACGAAATCCATTAAAGTTCATCAGTATAGATCAATGCTCTAAATATCCACAAAAACAAGAAAATCAATGAGACTAATAAAATAAGGTTACATAAATCAAAATATTTTCTGAATAAATCAATGTGATCCTCATGTGTTATTGATACAACTCTGACTATTACATTTTACAAAGGAAAAAGGGACCCTGACGCGCATCGCACGAGGGTGTGAGTGTGGTGTGTGGGTGTGGGTGTGGGTGTGGGTGTGGGTGTGGGTGTGGGTGTGGTGTATGGGTGTGGGTGTGGGTGTGGGTGTGGTGTATGGGTGTGGGTGTGGGGTGGGCGTAGGCGATGACAAGATAACCACACCCACACTCACATCCACCTATTCACACGCCACTCTATTTTTGATATCATAATATCATAAAAATGGATTTTTTTGCAAGAAAAAATATTCGATGTATATAATAAAGACGATTATGCATGGTCATAATAACTCAATACTGACTCAGTATGAGAATATCTATCGAAATTTTTTGTTTTTACGCGTTTTGTTCATATGTATACATAAGTATAACAAAGCATGCGTTACAAAACGAAAAATAATTTGATTTTTTCATATTGCCTTTAGCTTTTCGATATCATTTAAGATATGGATGTGTTTTGATGTTATTTCGTCTGCAGTATTCACTGTGTGCAAATCACTCAGGCAAATCGTTTCATGCGCATCACACGTATATACATTTGCAATAGAGTGTGACCAAAACAATAAAAAAAAAGGAAGAAACCAACCAAATCGATAAAATGTAAGAAACATATAAAGGTACCTTGCTGCAAAGTTAAGAAAGAATCATTCGCAAAAGCAAGCAAATAGTGTCACATACACAAGACCAAACTTAATCAACAGCATCTTGCACAAAATTTTCTCAATTTATTGGATTTTATTCATTTCGTCGTGGTGAGTAACTTCTTAGAATAATATCATAAAACGGAAACAAGCCAATTAAAAAACACACATACGATCAAACGGATCTAAAAGTTCGACACTTATGAAGTAGATATGAAATAGATCCAAATGATCAACTTCTCTTTTAGACTATCGATTAACAGATGATTGCTAAGTAGTAGTTTCCTTGATTCACTTTACTGTCTCAATCTTACTTTTATTTATCATTTTAATAGTCTCAAATCGACGATATGATCCAGAGATGTCATGATATCTGAAGGCTGGCTATTGAGAAGATACGAGTCACGATATCCATCAGAATGGATACCCAAAAAAAATGATACTCTATCCCCGAAAAGTGAAGATTTGGAGTGAATTTGAAGCAACTATGTGACTAGTGATGCGTTTAAACTTTCCATCATTCTGAAATACTTTTTGGTTGTATTAAATACTAAATAAAACATATTGCAATGTACAGAGAATCTTATCCTATGGCAACACAGAAGTTTATTTTATTTATCTTCGATAAGAGAATGTATTTAGTTATCCATTTCGCATTTCGCTGTCCGAAAACTTTAATCAGTCTTTTAGAAGTCTTTCCAATCCTTTTTCTTTTCTGCTTTGTATCACTTTAGATACGGTCTCGTGGGTTCTATTTTCAAAAGATGTGATTTTACCGACTGACGATGCCTTTATTGATTTGTGCAGCCCATGGCTTACGATATGTGTGTATTGTTTCTATTTGAAATATTTCCATTGGGAGCTTTCGAAGCTATACAATTTGTTAAAGTTCTGATCTTCTGTCATGATCTCAGAACGAAATTCGGGTGTAGGTGTGTGGATGTACTGTAAAAGAAATAGATATTTTACCGAACCTGTGCTCAGAATAAAAAACCTTTTGGGTTTTGAACGAAATCATCGAATCTTCTTTGGTTCTGTGCGAAACTTACCAAACTTTTCTAAGTTCGGAAATTTCGTAAAGAACTCCAAAGGTTCTTATCCTGGGCACAGGTTCGGTAAAATACCTAGTCTTTTTTACATTGAGGCACCAAGGTACGGACGCACAGGACAACACACGCAGAGCATCGTGCGTGCGGTGAGTGCCGCAAAAAGATGAACACAGGGAACAATACATGCAGGGCATCGCACCTGTTATGGGTGCCGCGAAAGAACAGACACAGAGGACAATAGACACAGTGCACAGTAGCTGTTGTGAGTGCTGCGAAAGAACTCACGCATGATGCAATATACACAGGGCATTGCATCTGGTGTGGATGGCGCGAAAGAGTAGACATGCCAGAAAACATACGCACGGTATCGCACTTTGGATTTGTTCTGCTAGCCCATGGACACATAGAACAACAACACACATGGCATCGTATCTGGTGCGAGGACAGCGAGAGGATGTGCATGTTAAAGCTGAAACTTGAATTCAAATATTCCATTATTGAATAAGGGTGTGGGTGAAGAAAAGACGCATACCCACATCCACACACCCACATCCATACCCACACCCACACCCACACCCACACCCACACCCACACCCACACCCAGCCACCCAGCCACCCACCCACCCACACCCACCCACCCACACCCACACCTACACCCAGCCACCCACCCACCCACCCACCCACACCCACACCCACCCACACCCACACCCACACTCACACCCACACCTACACCCACACTAGAGACCTGCGGAGTCAAACTTTTTTGACTCCGACTCCGACTCCGACTCCGAAATTTTTTTCCTATATAACTCCAACTCCGACTCCGGAGTTTTTTTCTAAATGACTCCGACTCCGACTCCGAATTTTTTTTTCTCAATGACTCCGAGTCCGACTCCGAAAAACTCCGAAAATTTTTCTTATTGTAAATCAGCAGCAGGTCACATGTACGGAGATATTATGTAACTTAAAGTTAGTTTACCATCACAAATGAGGTCTGTTTGGCGATTATTGTGCATGAATAAATAGATATGTAAAATATTAGATAGAAAAACTAAAGCTGATTGAGTTTTCAAACATTTTTTAAATATTAAATATAAAGAGTGGTCGGACACTTCCGACCCTTCTCTCTAGATTGACGTTATTTATATGAAATACATATATAGACAGTTGATCAAAGTGTGTAATTTTGTAGAGAATGACTAGAGCTATCATCTGAAAAGAAATAGCTCAAACTGTGTCGGACTAATCAGAAGTTATAGTCATTTAATTAATCGTAGTTTGGAACAGTGGTGTACGCAAGGGGGTCCGCGCCCCCTCCCCCTTGAAGAGAAGTTCTCCGTGGGAGAGTACGGGTAAAAAAGGTACTACAGTACAAATTTTTAAAAACTTCATTACGGGACCTCTCCTTGAGAACTTGGGCCCCTTCCTTGGAAAATTTCTGCGTACGCCGCTGGTTTGGAATGATTTCCGTCAAGTTTTCGTTTACTTGACGTTAGTATTTTGAAAAAAACTGCTATTTAAGAAAAGAAAAAAAAATTTCGGAGTCTATCAAATTTTACATCGACTCCGACTCCGACTCCGAAAAAAAAAGTTTGACTCCGGTTCGACTCCGACTCCGACGGAGTCGGAGTCGGAGTCACTTTTCGGAGTCTATTGCAGGTCTCTAACCCACACCCACACCCACACCCACACACCCACACACCCACACCCACACCCACACCCACCCACACCCTTTTCTTGCTGATATTTCTGAACTTTTGAAACTATGAAAATCGATAAAAACGAGCAAAATAGGCTAGCTTCAGTGCCCTATAAATTGTTTAAAATAGCCGGCGAATAGCTAGTAAAAAACGACCGATTTCAAAACTTCAACCAGATCAGTATTGATTCCGAGTCTGGTTTCATCAGCAATACTCTTGAAATAAACAAACGATTGAGAGAAGAAGTCCTTAAAGTCTATAGCAACCAGCCAGAAAATAGTGTCAACAGAAGGAATAAACAATTATACATATATAGGAAACGACGTCTCACTTATTGCATCCATTCACTTATACATCTATCATGGAAAACCAAAAAACAACACCTGCTGCTAGTGAACAATCGGCCATAGCCACTACGAATAGTACTGCTGCGCTACCTCAAAGTGTTCCTCAGATACTGGAAAATTTTCTTCTGATCTGGCTTGACACCAATTTTGATGAATCCAAAGGTGATTATAAACAGTCAATACACGATCTACGACATATTGTAGCAACAATCACAATATTTAAAGATATTGATCAATGTGTTGATTTTGTTACTGACATTAAAGATGAAAAAATATTCATGATTGTGTCTGGTTCACTGGAACAATATATAATATCAGAAATTCAAGCATGTCCACAACTAGACTCCATATATGTTTTCTGTGAAAATCAATCAATTCATGAACCATGGGCGAAAACTATATCTAAAGTAAAAGGTGTTTACACAAAAATTGAATCGATTTGCAAAGAATTACAAATCGATTGTAAAAATTGCGATCGAGCTATGATCTCAATCAGTTATAATGGCATCGATCCTTTGTTTATGTACACGCAATTATTAAAAGAGGCTTTTTTGGAAATTGAAGATGATGACACGAAGTCTATTAAAGAGCTCGTTGATTATTGTAGTCGTCACAATGATGCTTCTCCAACCACACTAGAAAAGCTCGAACGAGAATATCGTCTTCATTCACCGATTTGGTGGTATACAGGTCCCTTCTTTATTTACTCTATGCTCAATCATGGCCTTCGACTTATGGATGTCGATGTTATGCTGAAAATGGTTTTTTTTATCCGACATCTACATCAACGTATTGAAAAACTACATGGTGACCAACAATCCAGCATGTCTACCAGTGGACCATTCACAGTCTTTCGTGGACAAGGTTTGTCCATGAAAGACTTTGAAAAAATGAAACAAACAACAGGAGAACTTATGTGCTTCAATAACTTTCTTTCAACCAGTCGTCAACGACAAATTTCCCTTATCTTTGCTCGTCCGGCGCCCAGTGATACCGATTCGGTTGCTATCCTTTTTGTCATGACCATTGATCCTACGGTATGCGTACAATCAAAAACTCCATATATCGATGTGACAGGTGACGGTTACTATGACAATCACGAAGAAGAAATACTTTTTACGACCCATACAATTTTTCGTATTGACAACATCGAACACATACAAGCTGATCATACCGACAAGCTGTATGAAGTTACTCTCACACTTACGGGTAACTACAGTCACGGGTTACACGAACTCACATCACACATACGCGAGGAAGTCACCTCGGTTACAACACAAGGATGGTCTCGGCTTGGCGAAATACTCATTAGGCTAGGAGAGCCCGCAAAAGCCGCACACCTCTATAAGATCCTCATCCAAAAGGAACCTTCCACCAAATATCAAGCAGAATACAATCATCAACTTGGACGGACATATTCTTTTCTAGGCAACTACTCTGAAGCATTTCGCTCTCTTCAGAAAGGACTTCAAATTCGAAAGACAATTCTCCCTGCAAACGATCCTGCCTTAGCGAAATCCTATCACTGCATCGCTGCGCTCTATGAGAACATGGGCGAGTACTCGAAAGCACTTTTATCGAACGAACGATCACTTGAAATCAAGAAAATAGCTCTCCCTCCAAATCATCCCGACATAGCTTCTTCCTACAACAACATCGCTGCGGTGTATACCAAAATGGGCGAGTACTCAAAAGCGCTTTCATCGTACGAACAATCACTTGAAATCCAAAAAATAGCACTCCCTCTCAATCATCCCGACTTGGCTAATACCTACAACAACATCGCTGTGGTCTATGATTACATGGCCGACTATTCGAAACAGCAATGTCAAAGGTCCAAAAAATGTCCACTTTACTTAAAGTCCGC